AGGAAAAAATTAATATTATTTGCATTCAGTGAACCGAGAAAACAGTAAATTGCATAACAGTTAAAATCTAAACTTTTTAATTTATTAACTAAAGTCTAATCAGTTATTTTATACTGTATTTCAAGTTCAGGGCTTCAAAACTTTTACATAGTATTAATTACTTTAACAATGTGTTAATTATGCCATACAATCGTCGGTTTTAGTTTTAAAAATGACAATTATTTTTAAAAACACTTTTAGTAATTATTTATTTTTTTATTTCTTTAAAAGAATAATAACAAAGATTATATATAATTATATAAATCTTTAATTATATATAAAGACTATGATTTATAGACATGAAAACAATTTTTAAATAATATTTATTTAATAATAAAATTAAATAAAACCATTGATACATAAAATGTAAATTATTGAGCCTTTGCTTCTGCCTCTTCTCTCTCCTCTTTCCGTAATAAATATGTTTGTAATGGAGTTAACAGAATATAAATAGGATTCACAAACGCTATTAGTGTACAAAAACAGTTGAATATATTCACCTGTAAAACACAAAAACCAATTGATTAAACATAACATAATCATAATTGAGGCCAATTATAGCAATACTATACCCAGAATGCACTTTCAGGGTATTGAGACTCCCATACAAATAGTGGGAACTGGACTAATGAGACCACAGAAGCACTTGTACTCATTATACCCAATAAACGATTGAAATGCTCGCCATTGAAACTGTTTAATAATTATATTCATAATAATTACCATTTAATGACTAACAAAATATTAGTTTTAATTACCGAATGCGGAGATAAGCGGTCCCAACGGCCACCAGAAAGGCCCGGAAAATAGTCATAAATACAATTGAGGTATAGATCGCTGTCTCGGAATCGAAGAATCGACAGAAGAGACAAAAGCTTAAGAATAACGATGTCGTAAAGAGTGGCCAAAAGCCGGCTCTGACTCGATTCAGTTTCCTAAGAAACGGATCCGTCTCTCTGTCGGCCCTCTCAACGCTCCAATCCATGAAAAAGCCGGCCATCGGTGCCAACACTAGTGCCGCGATTTGTGCGATGCCATAGATTTTGGCAAAATTACCGGCAATACGAATATCAGTGGTCACTCTCTCTAGCCATAGGTTTAGGGAACCGATATAGAGGACCATATAAGTGATAAGCCATGAGAACCACCACTGATGCAGATTGAAAGCCCACGACCACAACGATATGCTCAGCGGAGGACTGTTTTGTTTGACCGCAGGAACGGCGGACACGACTTGAGTGACGCCAACTGTTGGCTTAATCTGGTCGCCCATCCAAAGCATTGTCTTATTAACAGATGTAATATTATTGCTATAATTATTTCGATCACTAATTATATCGTTTTGATTGTTTTCGGCCAATGACTGCATTTTGCGGCGAAAATTAGGCGAAGAGATTAGCGTAAACTTTTCGAGAGTGACAGGAGTTATGAACGATAGACTCGATCGACAGGTATTTCTTAAAAACATGGACTTTGTTTTGTCGATGGAATCGTCGGACTCTTCGCGCACGCAATCAGCGGGAAGTGTAATGAGAGTGAAGGGAAACATCGATAGACTCGCGATGACCAGCAAAAGTGTGACCGAAAGGTAGGCGAGTCCGCAGTCGTACAGGTATTTGAGGGCCACAAACACGACGGCTGAGGCGCAAAACGCGCCCGAATACAGGCTTATGATTGTCGACCGTTTCCGGGGGTAGAGATTCGCGAACTGCATGTTTGCTATACGAAGCGGTACTCCACCCAAACACAGCAGAATCACAGCCGGAAACAGTAGATACGGTCGATCTGAAAGAGTGGTAAATACAGTGTGTGATCGCAATTGTGTTATAATTAAGTTATTAATAAGAATTTATTCAAAGAATTAGATTTAAAAATAAAGAAAAAACATTTTGCAATACTATTTAGTTTAGTGCTAAACAAAGATTGTGTGCATTAATTGATTTGATTGAAGAAATCATTAATCATTTGTTAAAAGAGATAATTAGTTAATGTATAAAAACAAATATTTATTTAATTAACTTAAAGAAAAAAGTAATTATTGATTTTAGCACTTGTTATTTTGCAAATTAAAATTCATTTCTATTGCAATAATAAAAAATAAATAAATAATAAATATAAAACAATTTTGGTTAACCTCGACGTGAATCCAAATAAAAAACAATTTTATAATATAAAAAGTTGCGAAAAGAATGCAAGTAATTAATTAACTATTAAAATAGCATGAAATGCATGTCATATGTTTGCATAAGTATTCAAGTTATGTGTAGAATATTATTTAAACATAATT